TATTTACTATCACTAAACCCCATTTTTCACGGGCTTTCATTTGGTATAAAATTCATGATATCTCCGATTCGAGATCATACTGTTACCCCCCTGGAATAATATTATTTACCACCCTGTATATAAGTATAATTTTGATCATATAGGTACTGTTGGTCAACCAATGCCTACCATTCTTATTCGAATTGCACGAGAAAATTCTGACTCACCCATGGGTTATGAAACATTAGTAGAAGCTGATAGTGATAATACAAAATTGGAAGTAAAAAGTATGTTTGAAATTTTATTTTATTCAAGATAACCATTTATTAATTTTGGTTTGTTCATTAAAGTTACAACAGATGAACCAATTGAAGGTGAACTTCTAATTCAAAGTCCAACATTATTTAAAGAATACTGGCGAAAACCGAATGAAACACGTGCCGCATTTACTGCTGATGGTCAATTTTTCAAAACGGGTGATGTATGTCGTTATGATCCACAAAAAAATGTTTTCTCAATTCGTGGTAGACAATCAATGGATATAATTAAACGAGCTGGATATAAAATATCAGCATTAGACATCGAACGTGTTTTGTTAGAACACAACGATATTTTGGAATGTTCAGTTGTTGGTATTGATGATCCAACGTTAGGTCAAAAAATAGTTGCTATTATTGTAACAAAATTACCGGAAAATACAACAAATTTAACAATAGACGTCATACGCTCATTTTGTAAACAACAATTACCAAAATATTCGTTACCAGATTCACTAACAATTCTTGATCATATACCTCGAAATGCCATGGGAAAAGTTAACAAAAAGGAACTCGTTAGTTTAATAGTCTAATTTACACATGTAGATCACTGTTTTGGTAAATAAGTCAAACAAATAAAAGTAAAACTGAACACACTATATTTAGATTATAAGAAAAATAACTATTACATTATATTAGAGTTTGTATAAAACAGTTCATCATTTATTAATTATTGTAATAAATTACTTATCTTAGAAAATGTGACTAATAGACAATTATTATTGCTGCTGCTGCTGCTTCTCTCGTTATTTTATATAAAAGAGAATATATCGAATATCAAATTCTATACAAGAGAAAATAGTTTATGGTAAATTAGCATAACTAATGTTTGATACATATGAGCCAATGAACGACAATATCGACCAATAAATGAATCAGATTGAACTAGACAAAGAAAGCCATCATTAAGATTTAGTTATTCTAACTACACAAATAATATCTACATTAATAGAATATATAGGAAAGACAATATAAAAAGAAGACGACTAAGACATTAATTTAATATATTCAAATATATTTGTGATGAGATGAGAGAAGAAAAATTGGTATTAATAAAATGAAAATATGTTGAATATGTGAACTGTTGAGAAAATCATCTAATAAAAGCTTTTTTTGTCAAATATCTCTGCTGTTTCTTTAAACATGATTAATAAATTATCTTTTTAACTTGTCGGAGAATATACCGATTAGACTGATACCTACATCCTAAAGATAAGTGTAAAAATGTGCACGCAAACGATTGTTACTCGGTCAGTAGCAGTGTAGATAATGAAGTAGTCATTCAAATGAAGTCAATAGGAAATTTTGGAGCTTGTCGAAATATAAATTTGATGACTAGGAAATATTCAGATTATAATTCGTTACTGATAAATTATCATTAGGATGAATTAGTGAGTATGAATCATGAAACGTCAAGTTCCAATGAAGTATAAATGCGATTACAGCGCAGGGTTATACTTCACTCGTACTTGTATTTTGCAATAATGAAGACGCACTTTTCCATTGAGTATTTATTGTTTACATATAGTCTATTCTACTCATACATTCGATTATTAAAGAAAATCAAATGTAAGAACGAAAGGAAAGTCTATTTTCATGTGACACACTGTCATAAGGGTGTGTGTACCGCCTATGAAGACAATGCCCACATCCATAATTTATAGGTATCTGTTGTATTGTTTGCATGAGTCATTGTGTCTTAGATATATTAAAGAAGTCATAAGCACGTATTTATATTAGGAGATGAAATAATAAGATTACCGTATAATACAAGAAAAATTTCGTTAGCCTTTTTCATCACAAAAAAAAAATTAGTGGTCATACTCCATTCGATTTAGTTAATTAAAAGGTGAAACATGATGAAAGTATTCAGATTTTAAATGAGTAGATTCAGCATTATATACTTCTCTTTAGCAATTTTCATTTCGGATATTTTGTGAATGTATATCAGGAAGCTTTCTTTAAATAAATATCTATCGGAACAAACATTTATACGTTTTGTTCAATATTTTGTAGTCTTATCGAAATATCTAAATCGAATGAACTGCAGGTAACATTACTAATGTCAATAACATTCGGATTTCTTATTCGAATAGGATTCATTATTTTCTTGAGTAAATGGGGATATGTACTAAGACATACCATTGACAAAAAAAGTGGAATAAAATAGATTAGAAACGAAATGATATCCATTTGATCAGCCATAAATGAAAGCATGACAGTAATTTGAACGAGCCATACTATTGTCAAAGGTAGACAACATGCCATGTAAAGTAATGAAATAATCCATAATTGAAATACCATTTTGCGATGATTTCGTCATCATATTATTTGATGATAAGACATCTTTTGGCAGATCACTCGACTTAACAATCCGAGATTTGCGAGCACAATCATGAATACGGAAATAGCGACATTGACAATGAAATCAAATTGACCAAGAGAATCCGTCATAAAATAACACGGAGGGCTACAATTAATAAAGTTAAAATCTCATAGATTCGTACAAAATAGATTTATGACTACTAACACAAAATAATGTGCTGATCTGTAAATCAAACAAAGAATAATCGGTATAAAATGAAACATCCATTTTTTCCATAGTTTTTTTTAGTATGACGTTTGGTCGAAAAATAATTACATGTCTATCAATGTAAATCCATGTCATTAGAAATAATCCAATAGGATTTACTGAAATCTCATATCATGTCTGTGCCAAAAGAGCACTTGGTCCCTGCTGATTACCCCAGTCGATATCACGTTTTACGATGCTAACAAGCACAGTATCCCAACGTGATGAGACTAATAGCGTGTACATAGGACGTCTGTTGTCATCTTGTATGACGCCTCTTGCTCTCGCTCGAGCGTCGCGCAATCCGCTCTATATTCTCCTTCCTCTTCTTTTTACCTCTCTTCCACTTTGTCCATTTTCTCCTATTCGTCTCTTCTATTTATCCCTCTCTCACCTATTGCTCTCTCTTTTCTCTCTCTCCCGTCCTCTCTATATATATGGATGTATCTAAGACAAATAGAGAGCAGTACGTTTAGAATACGAAGCAGTTCAGTGCAGACCCAGTTCAGTCTCAGCTGGTTACATCTTGTTACAGTTGGTAGTTAAACGAATAGGTTGGTGAACAAGTAACGAGGTTAGGTTAGGTCAAGGATCAGTACATTATAGATACACCCTTTCACTCCAATTGATTGTGTGCCGTGTCTTCATGCATTAAACATTGCATATCCGTGTCTGATCACTTCTAATAAATTAACACGGTGTAGTGTTGCTGGTGTTCTGCATCCTTCAAGTCTCACTCATATACATCCACTCAATTATATAATACGACCAGGGCTGCCATCTGTATTCCATTTCGGGGTACAGTACCCCATTTTAACGTTTTGTACCTCAAAAAGATTTGTACCTCAGAGGTACAAAATTTGTACCCCATTTGGACAATTTCCTTTTGCATAAGATTAAAATCATATTTTGTTAAAATCGATAAACTTATTGACTGGAGTTGACATCTTCATTTGTATAGTAGAGATACGAAGAGTCAATTACATTGGTTCATTCATGACCAATACAGGACATTGTTATTCTTAGCATTTGTGTTTCCTTCTCTTTTGCAATTTTAATCTCACGATCGAAATTAAATCGTGTTTCTAATCGATTATAGTTTTCTATTAAAAGAATTCATATATATTTATTGCAAAATA